CTATTTTAGGTGGAGTGTTTCCTCTTGAGTCACTACATCCCTTGGTAGCAGGCATCCTGCGGATTTCCTAAGCTCTGCTCTTGAGAACAGGAAGCAAGGCTACAGGCAACCAATAATCACAGCAGCCCAGTGACTCTTCCTGAGGAGGGGAGGACCAGCAAGAAAACCCTGATTTAGTAAGAATTCCTTGGCAAGAAACTTGGGAGTTTACTGCGGGCAAATGGCTTCAAGAATGTTATTTATGAGCACACCCCGCTGCTCCAGGAGACAGGTTAAAAAAGAGTTTTCTTAGGAATGGAATTAGGTACACTTTTTAGTAACATAATTTACTTCATTACATGGCTTTACTAATGGAAAAACCACAGACCAAAGAAATCGCCGAACTCCCCTTTTCACCATTTTATCAAGTTTTCTAGCCAGTCATATCCTCTCCATTTGCTTCTGTCATGCGTACCCACCAGCCTCTCAAGTGACAATTGTTTCTGCACCCTCCCCCCCAAGTCTCCGTAACTATCTGTGATATGGAGCCATCAGTAGAGACACCTCTCTGTGCTTCACCAAAACTTGGGAATACCATGCATGTTGCCCTTTCCTGACCCCCTCCCAACGGCAGACATCACCAATCTACCTACCCTATATCTATTTCCCACTGAAACCAGTACGGCTTCCAAAGAACCACTGTGCAGGCAGCCACTGTCAAAGAATCAGAATCTCTAAATTTGAAACCTATTTGCAATGAACAAGACAGAGGTAATGCACAGAAATTTACTGGGCAAGGGTAAACCTTACAGGCGTTCCAACTGCCTTCTTATGCCCTGGCAAAGTCCCAATCCTGGTTGATTCCAGTTTTCTTACTACTCTGTGCCCACACCTAGGCAGCTGAACTTCACTAAGGAAGAACACCTGCCACCCCCAACATGCTGTCTAGTCTCACTATAAATTCAGGATCCGAGAATCAAACTGGCCTACTGTCTGCCAGCAATTCTGCCACATCTTCCTGTTGTCGTTGTTGTCAGCTACTGTTCACGCAGCCCCCGACTCTTGGCAGCCCCACGCACAACAGAACAAAACACCGCTCTGTTCTGTGCCATCCCCGTAGGAGTAGTTGCCAGTTGGACCGCTGTGATCCATAGGGTTTTCACTGGCTGAAAAGTAGATTGCCAGACCCTTCTTTCTCGTCTGTCTTAGTATGCAAGCTCTGCTGAAACCTGTTCGGCATCAGAGCAACATGCAAGCCCCTACCAAAAGATGGTTGGTGGTTGCATATGAAGCAAATTTGCTGGGAAGCAAACCTGGATCTCCCTTATGAAAAGCTAGATTCTACCACTAAACCGCCAGCGCCCCCACCCCATTTCCCTAGGGAATGTAAACTCCGCTACTTTCCTAGGCAATTGTTTCATACCTTCTCCTGTCTCTAAACCTCCAACACCCTCTCCCCCCTTCTCATTTTCAGCTGGTAAACTTACTTCCTGTTTCACAGAGAAAAAAGAAGCAATCAGAAGTTCTTGATAACCACCTCCAGGTCCATATGCTTTGTCTTCCTTTCTGTTACTAGGATGAATTGTCCATGCTCCTATCTAAGACCAGTTTCTCCATCTAAGGCCAGTTCCTGCACGTGCTCCCATCTCTTCTCACTTATTCAAGGACATGCTCCATCCACTCTCCCCTTTCTCTCCTGCACTGTCAATCCCCACCTCCCCCACCTTCTTCAGGAACATTCCCATCAGTATACAAACATGCTACACGTTTTCCCATGAATTTTTTTCTCTTGACTCCCACCTTGCCTCCAGCACTGCCCCCATTTCTCTGCTCTTTTTCACAGCAAAACTCCCCAAGAGAGTTATCTCTTTGGTTTCCAATTCCTCTGCTCCCATTCTCTCATGACCCTACTCCAGTTGGACGGTCATCCCTTTCCCACCACTAACGTTCCTCTTGTCAAGGTCTTCAGTGGCCTCTACATTGCTAAATTCAATAGCCAATTCTCAGGTCTCAATTTGTTTGCCTTATCTACAATGGTTCTCTCAGTTGAACACTCCCTCTTCCTGGAAACTCAACTTCCAGGACAAGCCTCTTATTTTTCTCCTAACTCAGTGGCCATTCCTCAGTTTCCATTGCTGATTTCCCCCAAACTCAATTCACTGACTATCCAGGATTTAGTCCTTGGACCTCTTCTCCATTTGTTTCCGTAGTCTTATGGCTGTAAATAACATTTTTTCACTGATAGCTTTCATATTTATAGTCCATCCCAGACCTCTTCCATGAACTTCAAATTGTGTATCCAGCTACCTCACTGGCATATCCACTCGGCTTTCTAATATGTATCCCAGAACTTCAGTGTCTGAAACTGACCACCTAATCTTCCCCCTCCCAAACCTGCTCGTTCTGCTGTCTCACCCATTTCAGTTGATGACAGCTCCATCCTTGCAGTTTCCCAGGCCCCAGGCCCAGTCATCCTTGATTCTTCCTCTCACATCTCCATCCAATCATTTGCCAAATCCTTCCTTCAAAATATATCCAGAACCCAGCCTCTTCTCATCATCTCTGCTGCTACTATCATGGTCCAAACCACCATCATCTCTTAGCTGGATTATTGAAATGGCTTCAGAACTCATCAGAACTCATACTCACCTTTTACTTGGATTATCGAAATGGCTTCAGAACTCATCAGAACTCATAATCACCTTTTACTTGGATTATTGAAATATCTTCAGAATTTATCTCCTTCTTTTCACCCCTTTCAACCTATTCACAACACAACAACCAGACTGAATCTTTTAAAATATCAAGTCGTTTTCCTGCTCAAAACTAATCTTGAACATTACTGTTACTACTCTTCTCCTCTCTTACTTGGCTCCAGCCACAGTGGCCTCATTGTTGTGGTTAACTTTCGCACATTTGCAGTTTTTTCTCCCTGGAATGCTTTTCTCTAAGTTGTTTGTATGACTCACATCCTCCACGTCCTTCAGATCTTTGCTCACATGTCACCTCTCAGTAAGGTCTTCCCTGACCTTGTGGTTTGAAATTACATCCCTACCCCCACCCTCTGGTATTTTAGCCACACTATCATCACGGCAGTTCGAATCCACCAGGCGCTCCTTGGAAAGCCTATGGGGCAGTTCTACTCTGTCCTATAGGTCATTATGAGTCAGAATTGACCATCACGGCAGTTTGAATCCACCAGGCACTCCTTGGAAAGCCTATGGGGCAGTTCTACTCTGTCCTATAGGTCATTATGAGTCAGAATTGACAATGAGTTTGGTTTCGTTGGTTTTATCACCACCTGATATACCATCTGTTTTACTTATATATTTATTTGTTATTATTCTCCCCTACAGCAGAATGCAAGCTCAATGAGCGCAGGGATTTTAGACTGTCTTGTTCACTGATCTCTCTCCACACTTAGGAGAGGTTCAACGAATATTTGACTAAACATGTTATTGCTCTCTCCAATCATTCCAAGGGCTCTAGTAAATATGATTTTAGGCTGTTTCTGTGTCACTGGAAAAAATATCTAATGTCCAGGTTTTGTTGATGCACTTTGATCAAAAACACTACAGGGAAAAAAAAAAAAAATCACATCCACCAAGAGGTGCCATGAAACCTCTTTGGATCCTATTAAGGATAAATAAGACTGTTGGTTTGTAGGTTTGTTTTGTTTTCATCCAAAAGTGGTTCCGAGTACTTTATTTTTTAAAAACAGTATAATCATAATATTATAAATTATTTGTATAAAAATAAATTTGTATTCTCTTGAATTAAAAGTATACATGTTATATAGTATAACACTTCCTAGAGAAAGTGGCACAGTGGTTAAGAACTCAGCTACTAATCAAAAGATTTGCAGTTCCAATCCATTAGCCTCTCCTTGGAAACTCTACGGGGCAGTTCTACTCTGTCTTATGGGGTCGTTATGAATCAGAATCGACTCGATGGCAATGGGTTTGGTTTGGCTTGGTTTAGAGGACAATAACATCTTAAATATAAATACTTCTGGGACCAATTTAAGAGTTCATGATGCAGGATTGGGTTTTGGATACAGAAAGCAGTAAAGAGGCAGATTTGGCTACTTCTGATCTCTGTTCTATTTTGTTCTTCTAACTACCCTTTCTATTACTAATGATGTCTCATATATTGCTGGTCTCTGTATGCATCTGACCTATTTTGCACGCATAATCTCGTTTAAGCCTCACATTATTGCTCTGGGAAAGGAACTATTTTTTATTCCCGTTTCATAGCTGAAGAAGTTGAGATTTAAGAAAGTCAAGTAATTGGTCCAGAGTCAAAACACAGTCAAGGGGCTACCAGTAGGAAGGGGTGGGACTGGGGTTCAAACCCTGGAGCTCTTAACTCCCACCTTCTATTTCATCTTTCACGTATTAGTCCCAAGACTCCTTCCCATCACCCTCGCCTCCTGTCATAATTAGGGGGGATCTGTGGCTCTTTAAATTTAGAGCAACATTTGGAAAGGAGAATTCTTAAATTCTTGTTTCAAACTCATTACTCATAAAGTCTTAATCAAATTACCCAGCTTCGCTTACTTCCTTTTCCTTAATAGTAAGAAAGATAGGAATCCACACCTGTTACTATTTTTCAGGGAGGTAATGAGTTTTAAAGAGATACCAAATGCAAATTCTTGGAAGGAAAACGCTTACAGACAGGTCTTATAGCAATAAACCCACCGACTGTGATGTCTTGTTTTTCTCACCCACCTGTCCCTTTCTTAGTCCTTTTTGTGCCCCTGCAGCTTGAATAATGCTTGGAGAAGAGGGAGCACACAATACTCAATACCAAATGAAAGACAGCTCTATGTGGTGTAAAATCAGGATCTTCTAATAAACACACAATGCTCTATTACAAACTCCCTTGATAGCTTTCTCTTCAAGAGTTCTGTCCGCTCCTGTTGGATAAAATTTGCCAAACTCAATTCAACCCCTTCCCGTTCCAACTTCCTTCTTAAAACACGCTCAGGGTTAAGTCTTCAGTGCTCTAATCCAGAGGAAAACGACTTATTTTAAAAAGCAGTGAAAAACACCACATTCCTTTGGCACAGGATGAACACCAGCTTAGCTCTTCAGCCGATGATCATTGTCTATTGTTCTCCAAACAGTAAACCACTATTTCACACCGAGATTGTCCAGCTGCACTTATATCCAACTCTCCGGCTCCTCATGAATATGAAGTAAGGGGCTGTGACCCAGAAAGTGGCAGATAATCTCCAAAAAAAAAAAAAAAGGGAAAAAAAGACAGGTAGGAAGGGAAAAGGAAAAAAAAGAGGCTTTATGTAATTCTGCACTCTTGAACCTTGCTGCAGGTTCCCAGCAGGGCAAAATGGGGTCTCGGAAGTGCGGAGGCTGCTTAAGTGGTCTACTGATTCCACTGGCACTTTGGAGTATAACTGTTAATATATTATTGTATTTCCCAAATGGGCAAGCTTCCTACGCGTCCGGCAATAAACTCACCAACTACGTGTGGTACTTTGAAGGAATCTGTTTCTCAGGTGTCATGGTGAGTGTGACTTGGGAGACTTGGGATCGCATGAGGGGACTTTTACTAGGCATTCTTGTTGCTAGTAAAAATGATAAATAATGGAGAAGTCATTCTACTGATCCTGGGTTGAGGATTTGGAGGGTGGGGGCTGCGGGAGGGGAGGGGAGTTGGTTGGAGCTTGAGGAGCTTTGTTTTCAGCTACATTGCACGTTTATGTCGTTTCAGCAGAGCAGGAAGTTAGTCCGATGAAAGCTCGTGGGACACTGGAGGGTAGAAATGTTAGTCCCCATGAGCCCTGCCTATTAATTTCAACTAGGTAACCTCCAGTGGCATTGCTTTTTTCCAGAACAGGTTTTCTATCTGTACTCATCATTTCTCTAGCTTGGGGGATGGTTCGGGTGGTGTGGAAAACAGACAGACTTGAGCATTCCGGTAAACCTGCGTTTAAATCTCAGCGTGTCATTTGTGCTCTGAGAGCTTCGCCCAGTTACTCACTAGCTTTGAGCCTTAATTTCCTTGTTTGAAAAACGTGGGTCGAGGTATTTACTTTGCAGGGCAATTGTGGGGATTAAATAAAATCACATACAGAAAGCGCTTAGGGCAGAGCTAGTGACTGTTGGGATTGTAAATATTCATTGAAACATGCGGCGCGTCATCAGTAAATGGTCCTACGTTATACCCCTAATAACGAGGGTGTTTTTGAAAACTAAATCAAATTATCCATAGTAAGAACCTATGAATGTTTTTGTGATGAATTTGCGCCCTTTAAAAATAAACAAACGGATAGTAAATCATGTTGGCATCTCAGGGGAAGACACTTTTCCTGATCGTATTATTTCTAAAAACAATACAGTGTGCGCTGTAAGCTTACAGTCGCACTGATAATGTAGAAGAAAATTCGTTATAATCTATCGCTACATCTTCGTGGGTATAATATTTCAGTGGCTATGTTGTAAAGCAGTTTTTATTTACATATTGTTTTTTGCATGTGAACTTAGTAAACTTCAGAATGTTAATACCCCATGCTATGGAAGTTTCTATGTAATAGGTCGGTAACCAACGTTGGCGGCACTATAAATAAATGGAAATCATTGGAGAAGAGTTTGGTGCGCTGTGTCAAGAGCCATGAACATGCTTATGTGCTTTGACTTGGTAATCCTAAAGATCACATTTCATTCTCAGGAAATAAATCCTAAACAAGGAAAGAGCTATATGAACAGGTATTTGCGGCAGTGGTTATTTAATAGTGAATAACCAGAAGCATGCTAGCAGAGAAATGGCTGGATGAAATTGGCTCATTCACTCCATGCAGTGATCAAAACTGTAATCATGAAACTGTAGTAACGCGGAAAATGTATATTATTTAGTGTTAGGTGAAAAAAAAGATACAACAAAATGGTGGGTAAATTATGATTGCAACTATGTAAAAACATACTTAGGTGGGAAAACTATGAAAGGAAATACGTAAAAACTTGTAAGGGTGGTGGAATTACGGGTAATTTTCCTCCAGTATTCTTGAGTCCTCTTATTGCAATTATATTTTAAAACAAAACAAAACAAAAGGCAGTTTCGCCTTCAACACAGGTGATACACAAACAGCAGGACTCCAGGGTATAGGCCTACTTCTCACCCAAACCCACTGCCGTCGAGTCGATTCCAACTCACAGTGACCCATAGGGTTTCCAAGGCTGTAAATCTCTATTTCTACCAATATTGCAATGAAATTTTGTATTGTGCTTCAGATATATCTCCTCATTGTTTCCCTCAATATGTAATTGTAATAAATGGAAGAGGTGCAAGTCATAAATAAGGTTAAACTAGAATTTATTAAAATCTATGATAATTAATGGCCTTGAAAGGAATATGGGACCCTTTAGCTTATTTTCCAAGAAATAATTTAAAACTGGAGAAAAGAAACAGTTCGTTGTTTTTTATTATCCAGTTCTTGGAAAAAATATTATTGTAACTGCAACAAAGTAGAGGAAAATAGATAAATAATTCAATGGGTAGATAAATAAATGGAGACTGAAGGAATGTGGAAACTGGAAAGGTTCGCTACCAACGTTAAAATAACAGTGAACTCAGCTTAGGAATTCAGTACTGAAAACAGAGGGTAAAGGGTAGATGGAGAATATGCCATAAGCAACTCCATATCCACCCAAATTGGAAATTACAATAGTAAAGACATCTATGTTCTTTCCAGAGCTTGATCCCGTTGCCTAAATTACCAAGAAAGGTAAGTATCATGCATTGAATTCTTCCCATTTGCTGGCTTGATACAGATAAAATGCATTGGAAAATCTGGACCTGAGGTGATTTCAATGTATGAGGAAATTGAACTTACTTTACCTCGAATTAAGAGATGTAGTTTCAGGTTTGGACTCCCTGGGTGGTGCCAATGGTTAACGTGCTCAGCTGCTAGCTGAAAAGTTGGAGGTTTGAGTCCACCCAGAGGTGCCTCAGAAGAAAAGCCTGGCAATCTACTTCCCAAAAATCAGTCACTAAAAACCCTATGGAGCACAGTTCTACTCTGACACACATGGGGTTGTCATGAGTTGAAATTGACTCAACAGCACCTAGTTACTGGTGGTTAGTTTTATATTACCCAGATCCTCCACAATGGAGTTAGTGAGAAATGCAGATTTTGCTGTCTAGGATGGTTTCCCCATGTTCGTACCATTTATTCCTCCTTAATCCTTAGCTTTTGATAATTGGTAAACCGAAAACCAGTTGACGTCAAGTCGATTTCGACTCACAGCGACCATATAAGACAGAGTAGAGCTGCCACATAGTGTTTCTAAGGAGCAGCTGGTGGATTTGAACTGCTGACCTTTGGGTTAGCGGCCGAACTCTTAACCACTGCATCACCAGGGCTCCAACTGGTAAACATGATGATAATAATAGCTAACATTTATCAATCACTTACTATCACCCAAGTACTGTGCTCAAAATTTTACATACATTACTTCGTAACAACCCAATGAGGGAGTACTCAACATTATTTGAAAGTGAAGGATCCTCAAGCTCACATAACTAGAAAGTGGGAGATCTGGGATTCGAACTGACGTCTACCTGGCCCTCGAGTCTATTTCTGGAATCACCGTCTCCCTACGAACGTGGATGGAAACTAGCATTCTTTCTCTGACGTTTTACCCCTTCTTCCTATAGATGCTTATAGTAGCAGCAGCTCTTCTTGTGTTGGAGAGTGAAAACAACCCTAAATGTTGTCAGAGTGAAAACTGCGGCAAAAAGTACATGGTAAGAGCAACGCTTTTTTGTGGATGGTAGAGTGGGCTTCAGCTTTCTTTCCTCTCTCTCAGAAACACGGCATATTGTCTCCATGACCTATCAGTTCAGAGCCCAAGAACTGACTCCAAAGGTTGTCTTCCATTTTGCTCACAGTCTCTCCTCCACCTTTGCTCTGCTGACGTTTTTTAGAAATTCAGGACTTAAAGACAACTGGAATTTAGGAAATAATACTACCTTTTCCCAACTGGACCAGGATCCCTGGTGGCACAGTGCTCAGCTGCTAATCAAAAGGTCTTTGGTTTGAACCCACAGCCGCTCTGCAGGAGAAAGATGTGGCAATCTGCTCCTGTAAAGATTACAGCTTTGGAAACCCAACAGGGCAGTCCTACTCTGTCATATAGGGTCAACTCTGAGTTGGAATCGGCTCGAGGGCAATGGGTTTGGATTTTGGTTTTTCCTAAATGGGTTGCTGTGAGAGTTTTTTTACCTCATCAATGTCATTGAGGAGCAACTTACATACAATAAATGACAACCATGAAAAGTGTGTAGTTCTGTGAGTTTTAACAGTCACATTCACCCATGTGACCATCACAATCCAGATACAGAACATTCCATCACCCCCAAAGATAAACCTATGATCTATTTTTTTATCATAGTAGATTAGTTTGCATTTTATATAAATGGAATCATACAGTATTTGTCTTTCCTACGTGGCTTCTTTCCCTCAGCATAATGATTTTTAGATTTATCCATGTTTTTGTGTGTATGAGATGTGCATTTTTTAAATTGAAATTTTAAAAAGTTAAAATAGAATCAAGGGAGAATAACACAACCAATCCTTCTCAGCCTGTGCTCAACAGGCAGACAGTGGGTTCTGACATTTCTCCCATCATCCTTTTTCTCCTCTTCCTCACTGTCATCGTTTCTCCTGCTTGCATAGTACTTTGTAGTTCTTTCACATTTACCAAGTGAATTAGGTCATTGTGACTCCTATTTTACAGAAGAGGCACCTGGGGCTCAGAGAAGACACGTGACTCATTAACTAAGAGGCGCTTTCCCAGGAGGTCTGGCAGGCATTCTTTACCGCAGTGGGTCCACGCCTTGGCCGCACACTGCAATCACCTGGGGAGCTTGAAAAAATAATGATACCTGGGTCCTACCTCCAGAGTCCCTGATGTAGTTGGTCTGAGGTGCAACCTGAGTATAGTTAAGTTTTAAATCTCCCCAGGAGGTTTGAATGTGCAACCAAGATGATATAGCCAGCTTTCTTTGATAGATACCTTTGGAAAAATTAAATTAGTTGGTTAACTTAGCACTGCACCCCTGGTGCAGAAGAGTTAAACTACACCGTGTGTGTGTGTGTGTGTGTGTGTGCGTGTGTGTGTGTGTGTGTGTGTGTGTGTGTGTGTTCTTGTTTCCTTAGCCTATTGACTCCCACATCCCCCTATAGCTGTTTATAGTTATGGAAGAGCCTTCCAAATTGCCTAGGTGAAGTCATGGATTCAGGTACACAGGCAAGCTACGATACTTGAGGAATTCCTGGAGAACAAATGTGTGGGCCATTATAAGTGTAAAGTAAAAGTAAATGTGTTCAATTTGCTTTAACTCACTATTAGCATCTACAGCTCAGATGTGTGCTAGAAAAAGTCTAGAGCCTGAACAGGGTCTTATAATCAGCATTGGCTGAGATGAGTGACATCTGAAGGGTGAAGCAGCAGCAAGGGGCAGAGATGAACTGGATCCCCTGCTTGTTTTTTCCAAGGTAGGCTATAGAATAGGGAGCCCAGCTCAGATGCCCCCAGGAGCCAAATACGTTATGTAAATGAAAGAAGTGAGCCTGTTAGACATTAGAGCAAATTTTCCATTTAAGGAGGGGAGGGAGGTACTCGTCAAGTCCGGCTGATTGTTACCGTGATAAAGTTGGGCAATGATTCTTAGTTTTCAAGAGAAAGTAGAAATGCATATTTTTATATGAAACCTCTCCGTTATAAAATGTTGGCAATTAATTCTAATTTTAAAAATTGTGTGCACCAAATAATATACATCTTGCAAGCTAAATCTGAGTCTGTCCCAGTGAGCAAATTCTGAAACCCCAGAACGGAAGTTGAAGTCACCTAAAATTTACTTCTTCATTGCTATTTATTCCTCCATGGGGGCTGGTCTTCTGCCAAAACTTTGTGGGTTGTTAACATTGAAAAACAGATATTGGCCAAAGAAGAACACTTGAAACGGTAGCTGAGATTTTGATTCTACTCTACACTTTTCACATAATTTTTACATCCATTGTCTCCTTTAGTTTTCGTAACAGCCCTGTTAGGTAGGTTCCATTCTCAATCTATGTCTCACCAAAAACGAAACTTTGACTCAGAGTTCTTAGTCCAACTTTATTTTGAAGCTGCCCCTTTTGTGCAGTAGGATCGTGCTCGTTAGATTGTAATGTGTATGTGTGTGTGTACACATACTTATATATTATACTATGGTTTTCAATTTCCTCAAATGAAGAAATTCTTCACTGATTGTCCTAGTGAATTGCTTCAGGATACATTTGGTAAACAAGGTACGTAGTCTTTTTCAAAACATCCTTCTTCCTTTTTGGAAGCTGGCACTGGTGAGTAGGCAAATTTTCTTTTTAAAATATAATTAGTACATGGGGTCACCATGAGTCAGAATCAGTTTGACAGCAACTGGTTTGTTTTTGCATTTTTATTTTTTGGAACAGTGATCTACTGTAAAATAGTAAATAATAAAGTAGCCCTGTTTATCTCACCCCACGAAGAGGTAAAATTCTATTAAAATCAACTTGAGAAATATAATTTCAAAGAGCTTTTAATGATAGGTGAAAATGCTGATGAAATAATTAATAGCAAGTGAGGGGGAGCAGAATTGTTCTTTCTTCTTTATGTTTTTTAAAATATGTTCTCCAGTTCTGCATAAAGTGCATGTATTATTTTTGTAATCAGGAAATGAGTTTTTAAAAAGGAAATATAGTTTTAATTAATTTTTGATCCTGTAATTACACATTTGTTGTTGTCTCTTTTCCCAGCCTTGGCTCTTGAGTTTACCATCAACTGACTATTGCACATTTCTGTTCGTTTGGCCTACTCTCACCTTAGCATCAACATTTCTAACACTAAATATATCTTTCTCCAAAACCAAACTACTCCTCCTGTCATCCCTATTTCTATCTCCGTTTCACCTAGGCCCCAAATTCTGGATTTTTTTTTTAAGCTCATCTCCAGCTACTCATTTCCTTCTTCATGTCTCTTCCCGGTATTCGTTCTTTTCTCTCACCTCTTCCTTCAGTCAGTGAATGTCTTTTTCACCTCAACTTGAGGTTGTCTCCACATGGAATCCATACCTTTGGGTTCTCTCACTTCCAGTTTGTATGCACACCACTGCTGGAGCAATCTTCCATAAACACATATTGCTCAAGTCATGTTCTTGCTCAAAAACCAATTACATGGCTTCTTAGTGAAAAAAGCTTATTTCATGTCTAGGCAAGGCAAGTTCAAAGGGAGCCTGGACATCTTGTGACAGAAAGCAAGGAAGTGTTCAAAGAATAATAGGGTCATGCCAAAACGCAAAGGAGCTGACTTGACAGGATGTTCCCACTGGCCAAGTTTGGGGCTATCTGGGCACCTAAAAGAATAATAAGAGTTATGGATTATAGCATATTGAATTAGAAAAATCCATGAGTGCACATGATGCAGAAAGAGACAGGTGGGAGAGAGACAAATGGGAAATGGAAGATCTTCTGTGCAGAAAAAACAACAATTTATAAATTCAGAAGGAACGATAGACTTAAAAAAGCAGCACATTGCAGCCCCAGTGTAATCATTGATGATCAGTGGATTTGAGGGTCATCAATGGATACTAAATCCATCAGTTGAAACGTTAGGGAACAGGATATGACACAGATTCAAAGTATACCTCACAGACTATTTACGAGTCACAAATGGAAAATGGGCTTTTACAGTGGAGAGATCTGAAGGACACCGCCTTAATCGAGGGAACAAATTCAGCACCACCAACAGCGGGACAAGCTGACACGACCAGCCTCCTCACTAGTGTAGTATTCCTGCCAAAACGTTAACCGGAATCCAATCATGCAGACACAATCAGATAAGCCAGAATGTGGGACATTCTGCAAGACAACTGGCAGGATTCTTACAAGAAAAAAAATGTCAATATAATGAAAATAAAAAGGCAGGCAGACTATTCTAGATTAAAAGAGACTACAGAGACGTAAACTTGTGCATAACTCTTCACTGAATCCTGTATCAAAAAGTGAAAAACTGCCATAAAATACATTTAAGGGAAAATTGGGGAAACATACAATGATTACATATTAAACCAACCAGTTGCCATTGAGTCAACTCCAGGTCATGGCAACTCCATGTGTGTCAGAATAGGACTATGCTCACAGGGTTTTCAATGGCTGATTTTTCAGAAGTAGATCACCAGGGCTTCCTTCCGAGGTGCCTCTGGGTGGACCTGAACCTTCCAACTTTTGGTTAGCAGCCAAGCACGTGTCAACTGTTTGCATGACCCAGGAACTCCAGAATACATATTAGATGTCAGATCATACAATGAAATTACTGTTAAATTTCTTTGGTATGAAAATGGTATCATGGTTACGTAGAAGAATGTCTTTATTCTTAGCAGATGAATGCTGATGTAGTCAGGGATGCGATTTCTTGATGTCTGCTTGCAACTTACTTTCAAATGGTTCAGAAACAAAACTGTACAAATAAATCTGTGTGTGTTTATAAAGAGAAGGAGCAAATGTTTCCAAATACTAACAATGGGCGAGGCTAGGTAAAGGGTATGTAGGGATCCATTGCACTATACTTTTAATTCTTCAATAAATTTGCAAATTTTTATAATAAAAGGTTAGAGAAAAGTCCCTTGCCCTGAAGGATGAAGGTCAGCCTGCTGGACCTGCCATTCAAGGCCATTTCCGCTGGGATCTGAATGTGGCTTCTAAACTGCACTCCCCTTATAAGAGCCTCAAGGGCTGGATTGTATCTTATCATCTCTGTTTTCATAAGCTTCTTTCCTCTACTCATGTCTGTATGGACATCCTTGTTAGATCAGATCCATCTTACTGTATCACAACTCTGCATCCTTCTGCCTCTGAACATATTCTCTTTACTCAAACAAAAACATCTCCTCGCCATTAATCCCAGCCTCACTTGAATGTCAGCATGAACATAAACATGAATATGAATAGCTAGGCTAATACCTCACATTTCTTCTTATATTACTGTATGTTAAGGCATCTTCCCAAGAGAAAACAGGGGTCGTAAGTTATAATACATAGATAATCCACTCTCCCTAGAAAAAGACAAGTCTTCAAAAAAGAGTTGTAGGTTGACTGATCACATTCCTTCTCTGCACTTACGTAAGAGATGATCATTATCGACTAACTGTATTTTAATAACTTAAAAATTCCAGAAAGCAGGAAGAAATTTAGTAAACGTCCTAGTTTCCTCTCCATGATGCCAAACGAAGTCATTTAAGAAATTATTTTTAAAAGTCAGATGGGTTTGGATTAAATTTTCCCAGTTTGGTATTATGTAGCCTGCAGCAGTCTTGGGTGAGTAGAACAATGTACCTATCTGATCATTTATCCACAATATCCCCGTTGTATGACACTAAACTTCTTCCATGTTTAATTTAGACATTGCTGTCGATGATCTTTTCTGCCCTTGGAATTGCTTTCTCTGGATACTGCCTGGTCATATCTGCTTTGGGCCTTGTCCAGGGCCCATACTGTCGCACTCTCAACGGCTGGGAGTACGCCTTTGAAGGCACCGCTGGACGGTAAGGAATCATTCCCCAAAGCAAGGAGGTCGGAAAGTAAGAAACACCTGGCCTCACAAAGCCCATTTCCCACAGTCACCTTGGGATTCAGTGTAGCTACTTTAGGGCAGAATTTTCCTATTTGTTTACTAATATCCAGACTGCTTTTTTTCCCATACATATCTTTGTTTAGATGTTTTCTCTCCACCTTTCAATGCCATGTCCACCCAAAATTTTGAGGCTGTCATGGAAATTATCTAAATGAACGAAGTATTTCTCCTATACTTCCATCTAGGGCTCAATGATTATTGTGGTCTGACAATGGCTGAGCCTGGTCTGAGTGGTTCCAGCAACTCAATCTTGTTTCGTAGCCGGGTTAGATATGTGGTTTGTTACAGCTGTTAAGGGGCTTGGCTGGGAGAGAGTCACAGTGCCCCTGGTTGGTGACACCGGGGCTGTACCAGCAGGGCTAGACAGAGATAAAACTAGGAAGCAAGAGCAGAGACAAGACTAGATGCAGGAGTTTGTGAAAGGAGCCAAAAGCTTATCTACCATGTACCCAAGGATTGTCTAAGGAGGTAGCCTTGCTCAGAAGGCTGGTACTTGAGTCAGATGTCAAGAGAAGGACCCCATCCTGGATCACAAAATGCCTCACACTGGCCTTGTGCTGGTTTATTGGGCCACTGGCCTTCCGGAGGCAGCTCAGGAGGTAGCAAGGCTCAGAGACAGACTCAGGAGAGGCCCATTGACTCTCTCCCTGTCTTATCCTATGCTCTGAATTCTAATGGAATAAAACGAGGGAGTGTTTGTTTGTGCTATCCAGTGGGGACATTACACTTTCTTCTCAAATCCCTAGAATTGGCTCTATCGATCAAGACCCATGTTTATTTAGGGCCTTAACATACCACCAAGACCTTCACAGCACAACTGCTTCTTGCACATGGCCATCTGCATTCTGAAGGTTCCACAAGACACCATGTGGTGTGACCTCTTTCAGAGAGCAAAGCTTTCCTCAAGTCAGGATAACCTCGACAGTAACCTCAGGCCTCCTGAGCACTTGGAGGAGGTGCCACACTCCTGTAGGATTGGCAGGGCCTCAGGAAAGAGGACTCTACTGTAGAAAATTCCACTGGAAAACAACTAAGCCTGTTGCCGTCGAGTCTGTTCCCACTCACGACGACCCCACGCGTTTCAGAGTAGAATTGTTCCACAGGGTTTTCAATGGCCATAATCTTACAGAGTAGATTGTCAGGTCTTTCTTTCACAGTGCCGCTGGGTGGCTTCAAAATACCAACCTTTCGGACCACCCAGGGATTTTCACTAGGTGCAAAAGATGTGAAGCTTTTATATCAACAAGCCCTTAACTTTCTCCACCCCAAAACCAAAGAAGCCTACCCTTTGGATCCATGAATCACCGGCTGCCCAAATGCCTCTCCATTACTCCTTTAAAGCTGCCCTTGATATGGGTTTCCACCTGTTTCCATCTACCTAAAAATGGTTGCAGGTGAAACATTGTTTGGAGGTCACTGGTGCAGGGAAACTTAACCTCTGGTCTCCTAGAGAAGTTTCTGAGGCTTGGCAAACTCAGGGTGGAGTAGGTGTTAAGGTTGATATTGTGCATATCAGGTATTCATTTGTGCGTTTCTTCAACAAATATTTATCGGGCACCTGCCATGTCTGGGTCTTGGGTTAGGTGCTAGAGAATCAAAGAGAAGTTATACAGATTCCTGCCCTCTAGGAACTCACATAGACCTGGCAGAACATGCTGTTGAGAAGGAAGCCTTAGGGTGACCGTTGTCCTCAGAGCACAGGTCTTAGATGCTTATGACTCTGGGTTCAAGTCCCCCTCTCCTACTTATAAGCTGTATGATCGTTGACAAGTATCTGAATATCTCTGAGCCTCTATAAATTGGGGATAATAACCATTTCCACCACACAGAGTTGAGAATTAAATGAAATTAATACAAAATGAGAGTAAATAAATTCCCAAAACGTGCCAGATTTTATTATAACCTCATTGCTGTGCTCACCCCTTTATGCCACATGGTCATCTGCTAGGTGGTTGGTGGGTTCAGCCACTGGCGTGGTGACTGATGTGGATCCTGATTCAGTTGTTCATTTAACAAATATTTGTTGATCTTTACACCACCTTAGGTCTTAATTGTGACCATTCAGAGATGATTAAAACGTGATCAGTGCTCTCAGAGGGCACAGTCCCGCAAAGAAGCAGATAGAGACAGAGAATTAGAACTTAATACGGTTAATGCTGGAGTGGCAGTCAGGTCAAGCTTCCCTATTCCTACCAGGCCTTGCGAGTGCCCTTAGGACTCTCCGTGGTTTACAAGAATAAATAGTACCATAGTCTGGGAAACAAATAGAAACCTTGCATGTCATCTTGATTTCATGCATTGAATGATCTGTGCATCTGTGCAGAGCGTATACTGGACTTGGGGACTAAGCTTCCCTGGAGGCTGGGACAGAGATAGGGGCATGAGGAAGTAAGAGATAGGTCTAGGGAAATTGTAGCAGAAAATCACGTCCATATTCTGCTTTCTGGGTTGCAAAGCATTTTTACATACCTCTCACCAAATATTCACAGTAATTCTGGGGTTAGGTATTCTAACCCCCATTGTCCAGATAACTCTTGAGGCCAGAGAGGTCAAGTCCCTTGCCCAAGATCGCACAGATCCAGAAGTTCTGACTCCACATTCAGCGTAAGGGCCATTAGTAATATTAAGAAATTCTCAGAGTGCCTCTGAGTGTCCTGGAGCATATGCTGTTGTCGTTGTGTGCCGTCAGTTGATTCCAACTCATAGCCACCCGATAGGGCAGAGTAGAACGGCCCCATAGAGTTTCCCAGGCTGAAATCTTTACGGAGTAGATCTCCAGATCTTTTCTCTCGTGGAGCCACTGGTGGGTCTGAACCACCAACCTTTCATTTAGCAGCCGAGCACTTAATCGTTGTGTCACCAGGGCCCCTTTGGAGCATAATAAAGAAAAGGAAATTTAAAAACGAGGAAAAATAGAGCTAACGGTAGGGAGTAGGAGAGAAATGGAAGAGGAAGAAAGAAAAAAAAAAATGAGAGAGAAAAAAAGAGATCATAGTGATGGTGGTGTCATGAAAATGCAGAATCCACTCCCTTCCCCTGATGGGGCCACTTGGCAGTGCTCAGGTTACCTACCGGGGGTCTGAAAAAAACCCACCTGGCTACGGACTCCAGATATTTAGATACAACTCTGCCCTGTCAATAGGTTTGGTTGCTTTTGTTTGGGGAATTTGAGGAGACCACTTTTCTATTTCCATTTAGCTCAACAGAGCCTCGCTCTTAGGAAAGATGCTACTGGCCATGGCCATCCTGGAAGTGAGCAAAAGTCAGTTAGGTTGGTTTAGCATGGCTTAAGGCTTGAAGACCATCCTGGACATGGTTTCATTCTGGCTCCTCACCTCTCATAATCCTGTTCCAAGCTAGACTGATCAAACCCTTTGGATCAGATTGGTTCCCACCTCATTATCTAAATCTTAACAGCTACAGAACAGTAATCTTCTAAAGCAGAGGTTCTCAAAATGTGGGCCCCAGGTCAGCAACATCAGCATCACCTGGGAATTTATTAGAGATGTAGACTCTTGAGCCTCAGCCAGACTTTGGGTTCAGAAACTGGGGTGGGGTCCAGCAATCTGTGTTTTAACAAGCCTTCCAGGTAATGCTGATGCATGTTCAAGTTTGAAAACCACTGCTCTAAAGGGATTTGGGACAGAATCTAGGGATTCCGAGCAGCGTTTCTCTATTATTTTGCTGCACGTGTGATTTTACATTTAACACAAGCTCAAACCTGTCCCTGACAGCCCAGGCCAACTTCTGGATTCCTGGAGAATGGGTTCTCTCTTGGTCTTGAAATGTGCTGGGCTTATACTGCTGCTAAAATCTTCAGTGTGAGTCTTGACTCCTAATCAAACAGGAATTTTTTCTAGGGCAGGTACCATGTTTATAATAAGTTAAGTGCTTGCTCAGTGCTGTGCATACAATGAATTCAATATATGTACCTGAATGATTATTAAAATATATAATTAACATTTAATATTATGATGGAGCCCTGGTGGTGCAGTGGTTAAGCTTTTGGCTGCTAACTGAAAGGTCAGCAGTTCGAATCCACCAGCTGCTCCTTGGAAACCCTGTGGGGCCATTCTACTCTGTCCTATAAGGTCGCTATGAGTCGGAATCAACTCAATGGCAATGGGTTTGGTTTTTTTATTGATATATTTTAATCATACATATTAATTTCATGAGAATCTAAAAATACCCATGGCCACCTTCCTTGGCCCACATATATAGGCTTGGCTATGGGTTTTATTCACCATTGCCCTCCTCTCTGACAGTTTCCTTACAGATTCTAGCACATGGATTCAGTGCCTGGAACCTGTACGTGTAGTGGAGTGGAACATCATTTTATTTTCCATTCTAATAACCCTCAGTGGGCTTCAAGTGATGGTCTGCCTCATCAGAGTAGTCATTCAACTATCCAAGATGCTGTGTGGAACCTACTCAGTCATCATCCAGGTAACAGACCCTCACTGGCCCCTGTCCCTCCTCCCTTTTACCCTCACTTCCCAGGATTCAATGAATCTTGTTGAATGTCTTCTTTAAAAATCTCTAGGATTCCGTCACTCACTTTCCATTCCTACTGCCCTCGTCCTTACTCAAGCTCTAACGTCTCAGTTTTTTTTTTCTTATATCCCAACGTGTCTGTTGACTTGTCTGTATGAGTTGAGTCAACTGAATAGTTGTAAACTCTATGCTCTGTCTTGAACTGTGAAACAGCACAAGTGTTTCTGATAAGCAACATTTTAGTGTTCTGTGTAGAAATAACTCAAATCACAAAAAAGTCTTACCGTTTATTGAGATTTGCCCCGTTTATGGAGCCCTGGTGGCACAGTGGTTAAGAGCTTGGCTGCTAACCAAAAGGTCAGCAGTTTGAATCCACCAGCCACTCCTTGGAAACCTTATGGGGCAGTTCTATTCTGTCCTGTAGGGTCCCTATGAGTTGGAATCAACTCGACGGCAATGGGTTTGGTTGTTTTGTTTTGTTTTGTTTTGTTTTGTTGGCCCTGCTTGTAAGATGATTAACACTCATGATCAAGATCAAAGGCTTGGAATCTTATACCCTTGAAATAGTTTCTGTTTTGAATGCTGCTACGTTCCAGTAATGATTCTTCTTTCTACTGAATGCATTAGCAAGTGATTTTGAAAAAGAGAGGAAATATGTCTTTACTTTATCCTACTGAAACTGCTGCTACCTAATTTGCTAAAATACTAATGTTAATTTAGTTTCAATTGAAACTGCTAAACCTATTTAGAAAGTCCAGAGCACAGATGAATCATGAACAAGACATCATGGATCTTGTTTAACACCATTTAACATACAATATCTTTCCTAGTAGTTTCAAATAGATATTTTCTATTTTACCATGTTTTGAGTATGAACTACACATTTAATTTTCTACCTGGATTATGAATCATTAATCAAGCCAAATTTACAGCTTTACTCACTTTGTTTTTCCTTTTCCTATAGCCTGGAGTCATTTGAATATGGACAAGAATGTCAAGTAATATGTTATCAGGATCTTCAGAAATATTTATACCCCTTCATCAAACAAATCCATTCCAAGAATCTCTACTATGGAAATAAATATGAATATAGGATAAGACTTCATGCAAATACATACACTGCACATTGTTCAATAAATTCCAGAATGTTAGAAATATCCAAAAAATCTTGCTTTAAGGGAGTGATTAAGTAAAAGGTGGTTCATTGGTTGAGATATTATACAGTCATGACAAATGCAGAGTAGGAATAATGCTACGTGAAATAGCAGTTTATAAATTCAGGTATATAGTATAAGTACAACTATCTAAACAAACAAAAAAACAAATAATCAAAATTTAGGATAAAAAGTAAATCTAGAAGGAAATACACCAAAATGCCAACCGTGGTTGATTTGGGTCTAGGTGACCTTTCTTCCTCCTTTTCTATATTTTTGAAGTTTTCATTATTGAATCTGTCTTGCTATTAAAATATTTTTTAAAAACTCACGTTTTTAGTATTAAAAATAATCGCCACTTTTCTAACTTTAAATGGCATGTGCTTTTCCCACACACACCCCCTTGAGTATCTGTAAATGTCATGAAATGCCACTTCGAATAACTCTTAATGAGAGAAGCAGTGATATGGATAAGTGCCAAGGAAGTTTTACATAAATTTATATAATCTAATTGAGCTCTTGGCCTCACTTTCTCTCTCCTGGTAGTGAACGTGGGACTTGAAAACGTAAGCTTGAAATAAATGAACACGGCCAGGAACATGTTCAACAGGCTAGAGGAAGTGACCCTTGACCAGTTAGTTCTCTATACCTGTGTCATGGGGGATGACCACTGTGTGTGTGTGTGTGTGTGTGTGTGTGTGTGTGTGTGTGTGTGTAAACAAACAAACAAAATAATCCATTGCCACCAAGTCCAACTCCTGGTGACCCCATGTGTTTCAGAGTAGAATTGCACTATAGGTTTTCAGTGGCTGTGATCTTATGAAACTAGATTGCCAGGCCTTTCTTCAGCAGTGCTGCTGGATGGATTTAAACCACCAACCTTTCAGTTAGTAGATGGGTGCAAGCCATTTACACTACCCAGAGACCTCTGTGTGTATGTGTGTGTGTGTGTGTGTGTGTGTGTGTGTGTGTGTGTGTGTATGGAGCCCTGATGGTGCAGTGGTTAAGAGCTAGGGTGCAAAACAGAAGGTTGGCAGTTCGAATCCTTGGAAACCCTATGGGGCAGTTCTACTCTGTCCTACAGGGTCGCTATGAGTTGGAATCGACTCGACAGCCACAGGTTTATATGTGTGTGTGTGTGTGTGTTTGTGTATAATTTAAAAACTTTATATCTTCACATTCCATGTCCTCCTTGAGGACAAGATCTGTGACTCTGGCTTTTCCTGTCAACCATAGGGTCCAACACACAGTGGGCACAGTGGGCACTCAGTGTTGAATATTCGTGCCAGAACTTCTGCACTGCAGCACCTGCTCTCTGCCAAAGCCGGGCAGGAATCTGGGGGAGAGTGGGGAGCATGCTTCTCTCCTTGTTACCTGCTGTGCCTACAGCCTCCTTCAAGGGAAGCTGGCCTGTCCAGAGCCTTTGTTGAAGGGAGCATCTTGAAAGTGAGCCAGGTACCCCATGACCATACCCTGAATCCGGCTGGTTGAACTGGGAGGAGCACTCAAACCAAGGGCAGCCTATAGTGCTAATGACTTGGCCTAGTGTAAAATGATGTCCAGACAAAATTGGTGGTTCTTCCCACCGGGGAATTTCAGCTAGGAAGCAAAGAAGAAAGCAACCTGGGTGTTGCTGACGGGAAAATAATGAAAGGACCAGAAAGAAAGCCCGTATATGCAAAGTAGCTGACTCATGTTAAAAACGGGGGAGATTTGGAAGGAAGGTACCTGCACTGCCACCCCTGAGGTCCCTGCTACTGCCTCTGTCCGCAGTGAACGGTGTCAGACTGCTGTGGTTTCTGTTCTTGGATTCTTGAATTGTCTCTCTTCTTTGTCACCGCGTGCATCACTTCAGTAAACCTCACTGCTAAATCCGTGCAGCTCTGTTCACTGCAACCAAAATAAGCCAGCCAGCATCTCCCCGTTCTACATGCGTATGAGAGGGGTTCCAAGGCAGAGATGACTGAACCCCAGAGTTTTATAGAGCTATGCTCGATTTCCTTTTCAAACTCCTGCTCACAATCCTTCCACTTTGAACGAATCTAAACATGAGTTCTGTAGGACCTGGCCAGGACACAAACCCGCGCTACAAACACTGTGCTGTATTCCGAGTGGCTCCTCGCCTCTAGGAGTCCCTGGGTCGTGCAAAGGGTTAAATACTCAACAACTAACAGATAACACCCTGGTGGCATAGTGGTTAAGAGCTTGGCTGCCAAGGAAAAGGTCAGCAGTTTGAACTCACCAGCCAGTCCTTGGAAACCCTATGGGGCAGTTCTACTCTGTGTTATAGGGTCGCTACGAGTTGCTGTGAGTCGACTTGAAGGCAGCCAGTTTGGTTTTGGAGCTCTGGTGGCACAGCGGTTAAGAGCTAGGCGTGCTATGGCTGCTGACCAAAAGGGTCAGCAGTTCAAATCCACCAGCTGCTCCTTGGAAACCCTATGGGGCAGTTCTACTCCATCCTATAGGGTCGCTATGAGTTGGAATCGACTCGATGGCAATAGGTCTACCACCCAATCAGTTGGCATTTTGAACCCACCCAGAGGAACCTCAGAAGAAAGGCCTAGTAATCTGTTTCCAAAATTTCACAGTCTTGAAAACCCTATGGAGCAGTTCTACTCTGTTCACATGGGGTTGCCATGAGTCAGAATCTACTGGACGGCAGCTGGTTTCCTCACCTCTGACAACCCAAAGATTTCTTACTGTATCAAGCCCATAAGCTCATCATGTCTAGCACCTTCTTTTCTTAGTTCTCCCAATAGACTCCTCGGCCCTCTTGCAAACAGATTTGTCATGGGTCAACCCCACCACTTGTCAGATACATTGAGAATGTTTAAATCTTGTTTAGATTCAATATGGTAACATCACGGAGAGGACCCTGAATAAATGTCAGCTTAATGACTCCACTACAGAATTGGAAACATTGTCTAACAACAGGGGAACAGTCAAATGCAGTGTGATACATCTGTCAGTAAAATTAAATATTAACATACACACACGCATACACACACACAAAAAAAACCCAAACCCACTGCCATGAGTTGATTTTGACTCATGGTGACCTCATGTTACAGAGTAGAACTGCTCCATACGGTTTTCTTGGCTAATCTTTACAGAGGGCCTTGACTGGTGCAAATAATTAAGCACTTGACTACTGGCTGAAAGGTTGGCGGTTTGAATCCACCCAGAAGTGCCTCGGAAGACAGGCCTGTTGATTTGCTTCCAACAGGTCACAGCCTTGAGAAGCCTGTGGAGCGGCTGTATTCTGCACACATGGGTTTGCTGCGCGTCAGGATTGACTTGATGGCAACCAACATCAACAACGACAGCAATCTCTGTGGAAGCAGATCTCCAGGCCTTTTCTTCCCCAGCGCTGCTGGGTGGGTTCAAACCGCCAACTGGTAGGTTGGCAGCTAACTGAAAACCGCTGGCACCACGTAATACAGCCACCAAAAATTCCATTTTTGAAAATTATATGTAGATGATATACTTTCAAGTTAAAAAGCCGAACGTAAATCTATGAGTGCAGTTTGAGCTTATTTTGTAAATAGCCATATATCTATATACAAACCTTCAGATTCATAGACGAAAAAGTCTAGAAAAATACTAAACGGTAATAATTAACAATTATCACCTAACGAGATGGACTGACACAGTCAACCCAACAATGGACTCAAACATACCAACAATCATAAACATAGCACAGGACTGGGCAACCTTTCGTTCAGTTATAGGTAAGGTCACCATGAGTCAGAGCTGACTGGAAGGTCACTAACAGCAATAACAAATGAGGAGAGTAAGGTTGTATTTTTTCTTTACATTACTCGATATTTTCAATGTTTCCGTTGAAAATATATTACTTAATAATTAGAAAAAAATAAATGTCATTAAGGAAACCAGTATCTCCAATGCTTTCTGTAAAAATTCATTTAAGGAGCTTAAGCTAGGAAAGAACTAGACTTAGAGGTACGTAGAGATATGTACATTTTTGTTGTTTGTGGTTAGGTGCCATCGAGTTGGTTCCGACTCATAGCAGCCCTACGTCCAACGCAACAAAACACTGCCCAGTCCTGCGCCGTCTTCATAATCATTGCTATGTTTGAGCCCATTGTTGCGGCCACTTGTCAATCCATCTCGTTGAGGGTCACTTTCTAATTTTCAGAGAGACTGGATATTGCCAGCTAATACTAATTGAGAATGATTTCTATTTTATGCTTTTCTGCTCTCATCTTTGATATTTTACTGCTAATTTCCTTGCTTCTATTTCATTGTTTCTTTAACTTCTTAAATGCCTAGCTCATTAATTTTCAACATTTCTTCTTAAGATGCGTTTTTCTTTAAGCATCACTTTGGCTGCATATCACAAGTTTTGAAACGTTGTGTTTTCCTTGTTGTTCAGGTACAGTATTTTCTTTATGATTTATTTTTGATCCATGAGTATTTTCAATGTGTTTCTAAATTCCCAAACATATGAGTTTTTTTTTATTCTTGTTGTTGTTTTAGTAATTGATTTCTAACTTAATTAATTGTAGTCATAGAACGTGGTCTGTATGATTCTCATTCTTTGAAAGTTGTCAAGACTTGTATTATGGCTACTTTTGGCTAATTTTTTTTGTGTGTTTAAAAAGATTTTTTTCCAAATATTCATGTGCAGGATTCTATATGTTTCCATCATGTCAAGTTGTTAATGCATTGTTCAGATCTTCAGTACTTCTCTTTCTGTTTGCTTGATCTAGGATTGTTATAAAGATTATATGAGTGTGTGTGTGTGTGTGTATATATATACATGTACAACTCTTCCTCACTTATTATCTTTTTATCCAACATTTCACATTTACAACAATAGTAAACAATCTGCTATGTGACTATTTTGCCCATTAATGACATATATCTGGCAGTAACTGCCAAAGTGCAAGAATAATGCTAGCTGTGATGATTATGTATCGACTTAGCTGGGCCATGATTCTTAGTGGTTTGGTGGTGCTGTAATGAGGTAGCCATCCTCCATTTTGTGATCTGATGT